GAAGTACGAGGACGACAAGCCGATGATTAGGTTAAATACAAGGGTAAGAATAAATATATCGGCGTCAATCAAATTCCTCAGTTGGTCCTGTCTATGGTGAAAGATCGCAACAGTCGAGTATTAGGGCTTATGGTGCCTGCTCATTTCACCTTTTCTCAAATTCCGTCGATGGAAGCTTCCGCGCTTAGATCAAGGGTATGTGTTCGGAGAATCATCAATCCGCCGGTCGCCGCCGCAATTGCCAATCGTTTGGATCAATGGAATATTCCGTTATGAACCGTGTTGGCTTTTCATCTCGGCGCCGAGAATTGTGAGGTTTCTGTGTTTACTATAGAAAAGGACTGTTACCGTATGAAGGCCACCACCGGAGACCCCCGTTTGGGCGGAGTAGACTTCTCCAATCGGCTGTTCAATCATTTTGAGGCGGAGTTCGTTTCCAAGCACGGGGAATCATTTTGCACGGACGATCGATCCCTCAGGCGGTTGAGGCAAGCGTGCGAGAGGGCCAAGATTGCTCTTTCCATCACCAATAAAGCGACGGTCGAGATCGATTCGTTGTACGACGGCGGGACCGACTTGTGCTCCAGTATCACGAGGGTTGGATTCGAGGATCTAAATGCCGATTTGTTTCGAAAGTGTGGTGATTTGGTGAAAAGATGTTTGATGTATGCCAAGATTCACAAGAACCTTGTTAATGATGTTGTTCTCATCGGAGGGTCCACAAAAATCCCGAAAGTGCAGAAAATATTATGTAATTTCTTCGGTAGGGACTTGCTCTGTACGAATATCAACCCTCATTTAGCGATGGAGTATGGGCAGAAGTTGTATACATACACTCAAAAGGTTAAACAATTGGTTCTTCTTCATTCCGCTCGGCTAAACCTGGGCATCGAGACGAATGGTGGAGTGATGTCCGTTGTCGTCCCAAAAAACACCGTTCTTCCGATTCGGAAAAATATAATTTGCTCCACTTCTTCAGACGATCAATCCAGCGTACTAATACAGGTGTATCAAGGGTTGAGGCTAATGGCTAAGGACAACAATCTTCTCGCGAAATTCCAGCTCAAGGGCATCGGGCTGGGCCCGCGTGGGGCCCCGAAAATCAACGTGTGCTTCCACGTCGAGGCCGACGGGGTACTGAATGTGTCGGCCGAGGACAAGATTTTCGGCTTGGAGAATGAGATCACGATAACGTACAACAACGGATGGGTGAAAAGGAAAGGTAAAACTCAGATGGATAAAGACGCAAGCACGTTTCGGCGTGAGGACGAAAGGGCGAGGGAGAGAGTTGAGGCGAGAAACGAGTTGGAGAACTATGCTTACGAGATGAGGAGAGCTTGTGTTGAGGATGACAGGATTCGTTCGTGTGACAGGAGCACGATTGAGAAGTCGGTTCATAACGTTTTGTTGTGGTTGGAAAATAACGGGTCTGCAGCTCCAGCGGATGTTTTGGCGAATTCTTTGAAGGGGTTCAAGAATTATTGCACTCCGTTTATTCCGAAGGGTGGTCGACGTCGTCCGAAATTGTATTTTGATTTAAATGTCTGAGAGCAGAGTGAATCTGCAGTGGTTTGTTGAGCAAGATTTTGAAATACAATAGTTGCTGCTGGTTATATGATAAATAAGATTCTGTCAATTTCATCAGATTACTTGATTCTTCAATTGTTCCCAACATACTGATTTTTTAACTGTTTTTTCAAGATAGTGTTCACTATTAAAACATTCAAGGGGGGAAAGAAAATCGAAAATGAAAACTAATTTTCAAATCAGAAAAATCAAAATTAGAGTTTTCAAAAAATTGAAATCAAGAAACCAATTCCAAAACCAGAATTTTCCGGATCGGAATTGACGAAAAAACAAAAAAACGAAAATTCAATTTTATTCATCTATAATATAATATAAAATAAATAATAATATCTATGTTCGAAGTATATTTTTTGTATATAAATAAATAAATAAATTTGAATTTTCATTATAAATTTCAGAAAATCAAATCGAAATAAAAAATCAAATCCTCATATATATTCCAATTCCAGTTCAAAAAATATATGAGAAAGAAAATTCAAAAAAAAAAATCGAAATCCAGAACCAAAAACATTATTCCGAAACCAAAATCGTACACAAAAATTGACAGAAAACAATATAAATATTGAAATTGTCATTCCTACTGTAACTTCATCCATTCCCTAATATCCAATTAAATTAAATAGATAATCAATTTTGAGCAAAATAAAGCATAAATTTCCACCCATGAATTTCACCAAGGTTCATTGAGGCTAATCTAATCACATTGGATTTCTTATGTCAAGAAAAAGAAACTGAATATCCCAATCCTACAAGCATATGTTCATTTTTCATAAAGAGGATATTCTAGTACAAAAATAAAAATACAGCCAACCATCTCTATATATGTGTCTTCATTATAGCCACTATATGACGATGAGTTAGTTATAAACGAACAACTACTCCAAGGTTTTAAGAAGCCGAAATAACCCTGCTGCTTCTCTAATCCGCGAGAACTCGATGCAGAATGCTTGAACTTCGATGAAGATGTCATGAACTGCCAATAAATCACAAGAAAATAAACACTTTTGAGATATTGCACAAAGAATCACTAGAGTATAAAATTTTATAACGAAGCAATCAGCACCCTCGGTAAAACAAACTAGTTATATGAAACATTAAAATAAATGTGTGTATCTATAACACTAATTCAGACATCTAAAAGTATTTTTCAAAATAATTTAGAGAACTCGCTAATGTGCCTTAACTGCACACGTTATCAATTTCTTCAGAATATTTCACATCAAGTTATAGGAGGCACTAAATCGATGAACTGCACAAGCTAAGTAGCCAGTTACATTAGCCGTTACTGCTATCTAAAAACATGAAATCAAACTGATTCCACCACAATTTTCATTTTCCATCTGCATCGTGTATAAGTAAGAACCTATAAAACAGCAAATGCCATCCGACTGATATTGAATTCGTCTACAAAATACTCACCATTAATTATTTTGTTACGGATCAAGCTTTGCAGGAAGACACAAACCAATCGCACAAGTCTGTTCTGCATATACCTATCCTGTAAAGGAGTATATGCAAACAAAAATAGTAAAGGTCCCGGGGCAGGAAAAGACAAGGAAAACTAAGTTCCATGTTTAATTAGAGAAAAGGGAAATAAAAATAAAAGGGGGGAAAAGTTAAGAACCTTGATGCCCTGACAAGCACTTATACAATTTGAGATGTAAGTGTGTAAGAACTCAGTAGGTAGTTCAATGGTAGTGGTAAGCCTGTTAACAACTTCCATGGAGTGAAGACTCATCTCCATATTTACGAGAACTGTAAAGTATCTGACAATTCAGAAGAGAAATATACAAATCAAAGTCAAAATTACAAAAGAAGGGAAAACATCCAAGACATTGGTCAAAATTAAAGAAAGAAGATCATACTCTGATATTTCAGGTGAATTCACCAACTTAATAAGAACTTCAACTGCAATCATAGGATTGTTCTCCACTAGATCCTGACCAAATCGTGCTAGATTAGAAGAAGGAAAGCAGGAAACGCATATTCGTCAAAAAAGTATCATATGTAGGAAAATGACGTACTGGAAGCTTTTTAGGTGTCAACCCACAATGATATACAAGCTTCGGGTCCTTCGCTAACTCCACCAAAAGTTGCTGAAGGAAGTAAATTTTGTTAACCACATTTATACCAATAGGATGAAACTTGATAGGCAGATAAACAAAGCAAATGTGTTCGCACAGCAGATAACTGATAGATTTACAGCTGATATGACCAAAAAAGGGCACTTTTCACTTATTTTTTGGTTAACAATGTCTTCTTCACCCATTCTTAATTCTGCACAACTGTGGGAAAAGAAGAATTCTCAATATAAATATGCAACAACAAGATACATCTTTCCTTTTATTTCAGGTAATCTGAATATAGTGGTTGGCACTTTTCATAACAGCCGGCCTTGGTGAGTGGTAACAATAAAATAAAAATATAATAAAGAAGCTAAACAAATTATGGATGCTCTACTTGCTTTAGCAGCATACAGGCATTCTTATTTCTCATCTCACATGGAATTGATCACTTTTATTAGGCATTCATTGAAAATTTCAGAAAAAAAAATTCATACAACTCAATCTAGACTAATTCGCGGAAATATTGTGCCGTGCAGCCCAATTGAAAGCCTCAGACGTGTCACATAAAAATTCCAATTTATATAATCAAATATGAAGTCGTATATCTCTATAAATTTACCGTCCAAGTTACAATGCCTTTTCTAAACGGCGAACACATTCCATGTAGATTCAATATTTTAATTAAGCGGAATACATTACCAAAATGCTGTAATATCCAAAGACCAGAAACACATGATACCTCTTGTTGCAGAGGAACAAGTGGACCCTTCAAAGCTTTTGCAATCAAATCTCTAACTGCTGCTCCTCTACTAGTATCAGCGCACATCCCATAGTCCCACAAAAGTTCATGGTTGATATCGGGGTTCAGCCACAATAGCTGCTCAAAATCATGAGAAACTTTGTTGGTCCACATATATATTTCACACACATATATAATCGAAAATATCTAACCCCAGCCAACGGTTACTAGTGCTTGCACACGTACCTCTCCATCCATTACTGGAAACCTTGGAGGGAATGGCCTGATCCATTGTGGACCTATTCCCTCTAGTGAAAAAGACGATAATAACCCAGCTATAGTTTCATCCTTGTTCCCAGATCCAATCTTAGATGTAACTCCAGGTTGTTCATCAAACCTGAAACATGATCAGCAATACCAATAAAATAGATCAGCAGACAAATAAATGAAACTGATGTAATGAATGATTTATAGTAACATCATATCAAGTCACAAGCAAGAGGCATACTCGAGTGAATTACTATTACATCCGAGGGGCAAATCAGGATCAGCTATTATATTTTTCACAGACTTGTCCTTGAACAAACATTTAAATGGTTCTGGTTGAATTTTGCCACAGTATTGTTGCTGCATGTGCTCGCGTTGGGGAAATGACTGGAAGTTGAAAGGAGATAAAAAATAATCACATTTAAGGGAATATTTTGACCAAGATAGGTAAAACAACTAGTTGTAAGCATTAACTATTGGCAAGCATTATTTAATATATATGTATAACTTACAATTGATGAAACGTCAAAGTTTCTTATGTAATCTGCTGCAGATTGCTTGAGAAGCTGCATGAAGAAAGCTACTATCACTTACAAAAACAGAAAAAACTGGATTTAAAAAAAAAAAAAGAAAAGAAAAAACAGTTACTACGGAAATTTTGCATTCTCGGATGCATGTGAACTTGATAATACATTTGGATAAAATAAAAAAATGAGTGCAACAACAACTTCATCATCGTATAGGAAACGAAAAAAACAGCCCAAGGTCAGCATGAATAACAAAGAAACATTAAATGCTTCAATAGAACAATGTCTCAAGCAAGAAATATGTCTTCAGAATTATTTAGAATTTTTCAAGCATAAATTCTGGTTTGTTTGACAAGCATAGCCAAACATAACAGATACTCCACGTAGGCTGCCATACAGGAACCGTATGAATCGAATAATTAGAGAACTATAAATAAGCATAAAAACTGTAAAATTGAATACTCAGAAACTATGGCAATGAATGGTGCACAAACCTCTCTGCTATTCGTCGTGCTTGAAGAGCCTAACAATTGAAGAACAAATGCTCTTTCATACTTTTCAGCTTCCTCGTCACATGCTGCCTGCGAATGGACAAAACTGTGAAGCAAAACATTCACTGCTGCCTCAAAACAAATCTTATCAACTAACTAACTCAAGAAACAGTGTAACATTTCAAGCTGGTTAAATGGGTAAGGATTCGTTTAAATGATGCAAAACCACACAAATAAAACTGTGAAACATGTCAGCTGAACAAAAAACAAAAATGGCAACTAATTTGAGGAAAAGTTTAAGAAGTCCAGCTAGATAAATAGGTTAGTATTTGCTTATCCAAAACTTCATATAAATACTGTGAAGCATGCCAACTGATCAGAAAACAAAATATCAAAGAGGATTAGTTAGAAATTAAATAATCTAACAAGTTGGGTCAGTATTCAAATATGTAGAAATATTTATTGGCAAAGAGTGAATTACAGCCAAAATAGTAAAATGATGACAATAGATGTTCTTTAATTTCAAGAATATGGTCTTGCTTGCAAGTAATATGATTAAACACAAAGCTGTCGAAAGGGCCTGAGGTAGACTATTAAAATCAATAAACAGCAGTCCATAAAAATGAAGAAAACACAAAGAGAACGCGTTAAAATAAAAAATAGTAAAACAAGATATATCGAAGCAGGCCCTTCATGATCAGCTTAAATGATTAACAGAAACGGAGACAGTGAAAGCCCGAGTGCTGCAAACCAGTCTGAGAACCACACCTGAAGGATTATGCAAACAGACAAGCAAAAACTTACATTGACAAGCTTTGAAATGAAAGGGTTTGAAGAAGGCTGTTGTGACGCATATGCCTGATACATAATTGCAAATGCAATCAACCGCTGAGTTGGACTAAGAAGATTTTCCTGCAATAACATGATTGAGAGATTTAAGTGCAATTCGTTGTCCCATTGACATGGCGAAGTTAGATTTATTTATTTTTAAACGAGATGCAAATGCGAACAATATTATGCACACGAAAAAAACATTAAAAGAAACAGAATTCCGCGATACGAAGAAAAAAAAAATCAATTTTAGAACAGGACAGCACAAAAAATCCACATAACAATTGCTAGAACCTGCAAACTTTAGGTGCAAAAGTAACTTCAATAACCCAAATTCACCCAGCACTCAATTGGCTGCTTTCCAACAGAGAACCCATTTCACTCAACTAATTACAAGTTCAAAATTGAGTCAAAATAGTCGAACAAACTTATTCATCTTAGAATTGAGACCCCTCAAACGCTGATCCAATTCTAGAATTTAATTTTGCGAAAATCTGAAATTAAAACTCGGGGAAAAAAAATCAAATCAAATCAAATCAAAAAATCGCCAAGCTCAATTCAATTCCTATGTATGAAGAAAACGGAAACAAACAATCTCAAAATTAGCATAAATTCAAGCGTAAAAAAAGGGGGAAAAGATAAACCCTAGCCTTGGGGTTTGTCGTGAGAAATTCGAGGGCGGAGCAGGCGTAGAAGTGATTAGAAGTAGGAAAATTGGCGTTGAAATCCGCCATGATTTCTTCGATTGTCTTCTCCTCTCCGCCATTGATCAGTCTCAGCAGCTTCCCGCAGTCATCGAAACCCAACATCTCTGAAAATTTTGCACTGACGAACTAAAAAAATGTACGAGCCTCTGTCTGCGCTGGAAATTTTTATTAGAGTAAAAAGCAGTTTACCCCCTAAACTAAGGGCCGATTTGCACTTTACCCCCCAAACAAAAAAAATTTGCACGTTTTTACCTGAACTCATTAATTCGTTGCACGGTGCCCCCTAAACTCAATTTTCCGGCAATTTTGGACGGAATGTTAAATCATATGCGTTGCACGTGCAATTTACAGGGGTAAATTTGTCCATTTACTTAAATTCTATATATTAATATAAAATAATCATTTAAAAAAAAAAAGAAAAAATCAAAACACCTGCCACATGCTTTTTTTATCTTTCTTTTTTATTCTCCATTTTATTCCCTCGTTCTATTTCTTCTTCTTTGCCGTTCATTTATCCTCCGCCGCCGCCTCCAATTCCCAGCACTTCGGCCGCCGCGATTTACCTGACCAACTCCAGCACAACAACTGAGAACGGACTCCAACAACAAGACCCACCCCCCAAATCCCAGCCCATATTCCCAGACCACAACCTAGCCGGCTAGCCCACAACCGCCCACCATCCCATTGTTAAACTACTCTGTTTTGCCGGCGACGAGGCTAATCAAGGTGGCGAAGCCGTGGAACTTGGGCTGACGAAGGAGCCTGTCAAAACTTCAGCGGCGAAATTGAAAAAGCAAGCACGTGTTAAGAACAAGATCAACATCAACAAAAATGGGGTAAAATTGGGGAGGCTGAGAGAATTGGTGATGGGGACTCTGGGAAGATTTGGATTTCTCTCTCTAAGGAAGAATCGAGGACATTTATGATTTGACCGGAGAGAGAGAGAGTGGACATTGGAGCCCATGTAGTGGATGCGGTGGAGGTAGATGGAGGAGATAGTGGCCTCCCCTTCCTCCGGCTCTGGCGAAGACCCTCTATGACACTGGCTTTACGACACCTATCTCTCCTCCGATCCCGACTACAGCTTGTCACCAACCTCTTCTCCGGCAGAAAGCCCAACGACATACTTCTCTCCCTCGACGACAATCAGTCCATCCAAGAGGTCTTCCTCGGAGCTCGAATTTCATGGGTCAATCAAATCGAAAGAGACCACCGGAACCAGGTTGTTTCTCGGAATTTTGTCATGAGAATCAAAAAAAGGGATAAGCGGAGGGTACTGAAACCTTATCTTCAACACATACACACAGTCTCCGACGATATCGAGCAGAGGGGGATTTACAATAACCGGAAGCAACGGCAGGTGGAAATCGGTTCCTTTCAATCACCCGGCGAGTTTCGACTCGCTCGTAATCGACCCAGACGTGAAAGCCAAAATACGCAACGATTTGGAAATGTTTCAGAAATCGAAGCAGGTTTTCGAGGATTTAGATTGTTATGTGTCGGACAGATCGAGGTCGAGGATTACGTCATCCGGTCTGATGGATTTCATGGATGGGCTGTTGAATTCTGAGGATGAGAGAATTATGATTTTCACGAAGGAATCGATTCAGCCCTCTTGCGTCCTGGGAGAATCGATATGCACATCCATTTTCCGATGGAGGAGATAAAACGAACAAGAAAGAAAAAGAAGAAATAGAACAGAGTGAAAAAAGGGAGGAAAGAAAAGGAAAAAAAAAAGGCCTGTGGTGGGTAGTTTTTCTTTTTTTCTTTTATTATAAATCATTATTTTATATTTAATATATACAATTTAAGAATGGACAAATTTACCCCTGTAAATTGCACGTGCAACGCATATGATTTAACATTCCGTTCAAAATTGCCGGAAAATTGAGTTTAGGGGGCACCGTGCAACGAATTAACGAGTTCAGGTAAAAACGTGCAAATTTTTTTTGTTTGGGGGGTAAAGTGCAAATCGGCCCTTAGTTTAGGGGGTAAACTGCTTTTTACTCTTTTTATTATTATCATTTGCAACTGATGATAAAGTGCAAAATTGCAATTGTGGTCATAATCTTCTAGGGTTATTTCACTTTAGTCCCTAGATTTCAACTTTTTTTCGAAACTCACATCAAATCACCGCAAATTTGTCAAAATTACATTCGAAGTTGAAACGATATTATTAGAACTGAAACGACATTTATCACATTCCGTATTGAAATGATCCCTAGCTAATATATGCTTATGAAAAATGATAAATAATCGTGATGAAGAGTGTCTTGCAAGTGTAGATAATGTGTTCGAATAGTTTACTTTAGGGGTCTTTTGTTGATAAGATAAACTACAATTAATTGAATTTTACTTTGTTTTTGGTTAAATATTTTTTTAGGTTATCCCAAAAAGGCAAAAAATATATATTAGATCTCCTTCTAATCCAATTATAGAATTATGTTCTAATAAAATTGCATAATTTTCCTTTGAACAATTCTATTTTGGCAGTCAAAGGAGGCATCAAAATAATATTTGTTTAGGAAAATAAAAATAACTTCCCTTGGTGATTAAATATTGTTGTGAATTAAACCAAATAGTTTGAAAAGTCAATTTAATGAAACAATGAAACGAAGATGAAGTACAGTCGAGATTACGTGGTTCGAATTAGCGTAATTTTATATCCACGGAAACAACAATGGAGGCTTCTTTATTATCGACCAACAACATAGCTTATAAGCTCATAGTCACTCACAATACAACTCACACTTTATCATCTTACAGAAAACCCTAAAATCGAATAAGATTTCTATTGCTTTTACAAAGTGTTTGCTACTCTTATGAACTAATTAGACATTATATATTCCTTCGGATACGACCAATGCACGTGCTCTTTGAAACTCTTTTTAGCTACAGAATAACAAGTTATTGAAACAATTCTTCTGCCCTCAGCTTCCATCCATATACATGGCTTGTGCTAACATGTAATCATAACCAATTGGTGAATCAGCCGTGAGCTTTGAACTAACCATAACAAAAATATAATGATATTTATTTCATGTTGGCTTCCATTATATTTGGAAGAAACTAAATAAAATTGGGGATATTTTTATCATATTGTTAATATAATATATAAATATAGATGTATATATATTATATAAATGAAAATATGAATACATTAATGCTTTATATTTTACATGTAAGGGCATCTCCAAGGTTAGAGGCTAAAAATTGGAATGCTATATCTATAATAGCTGATGAACAGTGCTATAGCAGCTCATCTTTTACTGTCTTGCTCCAACCATATCATCTATATTTTAGCATTTTATTATATTTTATTACTTTTTACTATTTGATTATAATAGTATTTTCAATTAATATATTTGATATCTTATATATAATATGCAAAATAATATGTATTCTTTCGATAAATCTATATAATAAAATTTACATAAATTAATAATAATAATAATAATAATTATTATTATTATTATTATTATTATTATTATTATTATTATTATTATTATTATTATTATTATTATTATTATTATTATTATTATTATTATTATTATTATTATTATTATTATTATTATCAGGTAAAGTATTAGATAAACAAAAAAAAAACACACTAAATTAAATAAACTTAAAAAATGTAGACTTTGGCTTTGGAAAAAAAGGCTGACTACACGTGAATAGTGAAAATGTGGGGGTGGGGCTGCATTATTTTATTAATATATTGGATACCATATGTGAATAGTTAACTGGTATATATACCAGCTGGGTCATTGAATTCAGCAGCCGGCTAAATTATAGCTCTCTCCGTTGGAGCAAGTTTTATAAGTTTGAGATGGTAAAATATTTATAATTTAGCTTTTACCTCTCCAAAACCTACACGGTTGGAGATGCTCTTAACAAATATACTACAATGTAGTAAAAAAGACTAATCTTTGGATTAATTTGTAACTACAAAGAACTATGATAAAAACGAATGTGACAACTATGCAATCTCAATTAAACTTTCCACAAAAAATGAAGTCATCTAAGTGAAAGTCAACTACTATGTTAGACCATCAAATATTACTTGGGCTTAATTTTCTGCACCCAAGTGCTTGGTATCGTAGTTTTTAACAGTCCACATTTAAAAATAAAGGTAAATTAAAACCAACCCTGAGGTATGGTTAAATTACAAAAAAACCATTTTGTTTGGGTAATTACAACCACCCATTAACTATAAATCTTCTTACACATTCACCCTTGCGGTTTCAAATTTAGTGGAATCTTCTAGAATATAAGGAATATTCTCAATTTTGTACCCGTTTTATCTCATTCGAGCTCCACATTTTGAAGTAAGATGATCATAAGATGTGTTTTTTGGCTTGTATATATCAGATTGTGGTGCATCAGAAACTGTATTTTTGCACAAAATGAGTAAAAACTAGAGCATTTTACGGAATCTAGATGATTATGTTGAATTTGACACCATAAGGGTGGATATGTAAGAAAATTCCTAGTTGAGGGGTAGATGTAATCAAGACAGCTCCTACATACGAGTGGTTGTAATTTACCCTAAAAATAATTAAGGTTCCACCTCCAATTCACTATTTTGATAAATCAAGTCGTTGTAGTTGGATTGAAGGGTGTACATGAGTTGAAGCAGTTCGTAAAACTTGATAAGCTTGCTTGAGTTCAGTTCCTAACGAGGTCGAGCTCTAGCCCATTTTACGAGCCCGACTCGTAAACTTATTAAGTTGGGCAAAAAAAGGTAAAAAAAAAATACGTAACGACTAATTTTGTGAAATAAATAAAAATAATAGTCCTACCGGCACAAAAGGGTGCCTCCACGATTACTGTTTGTAGATTTTATTCCTATCCCACTAACTAAAGTTCAATAAAAATTAAAAAGGTCACTTGTACATAAAGTTTATTTTCTTAATTGAAATTGATAAGTGGGGTTTATTGGTCATTATTTTTAAATATAGAAAACAAATTAATAAGTAACCATGCAAATTGAAATGAAAATTTTGTTACAAAATCAATTTTTTTATACAAATAAAAATCACTTTATTTTTCAATTTTTTGTATCTTTTTTTCTTTTTCATAATCACTTTACCAACAACATCTTTACTCTTTAATCTTTACTCTTTACACATGATTTGTTTTTAAGTATTATCCTAAAACATTTTTTTCTCAAAATAGAAATAGAAATGTAGACCCAATAGATTAACCAAACATTAACCTATGTTTCTTTATCCACCTAAAATATAATATACTAATACTTGAATTATCAATGTATTTTTTAATAAAAAAAATAATCATGGTATTTTTTAATTATATTCAAAATTAAAATCGGGTCGAAACTAGAATCCGATATAATCCATTTTTAATCAAAAAAGTTTTGGAAAAATCAAAATTGGAATTTTCACAAAATGAAACTAAAAAAATATTATTCCAAAATCAGAAAAGTTCAGATGTGAATCATGGGAATTCAAAAATCCCATTTCAATTTCCACTGTAAATACTAGTAAGCAAAAATATGTGGCTGAGTTTGTAAAATTACTATGTTACCTTTCATCTTTCAAGATAATCATTTCCATTAGGTTTTATTTCATATAAGAAAGCAGATACATGCGTAAACGAATCGAGTCGAGTCGAATGCATGTTTGTTCAATTTATATTTAAACAAACACAACTGAAACACTATAAGTTGTAATTTACGAAACGAAAACACGCGTCCAAACTTGTTTCGTCACATGCTATGTTAATAAATCGAACTCGAACAAACTTTAATTCTAACAAGAAAAATCTCAAATATTCAATAATTGAATATGAGTTTTCAAACAAAAACCAAATGAACTTTAAACAGCCCAACTGGATAATTGTCTTATCTTGTGTATGTACCTGTTTCCAATATTTTTTCCACA